ATTGTTATGTTACATGGATATTATTTCATCAGTAGCTAAGGCGAGACTTCCTTTATACCTTGTTTTGCGTACTTATTCTTCTAAATATCATCGGAGGAGGGCAGAATAAAAATAAAGATAAAATTTAGTTTTTTTATTCAGCAAACAGTCTGCCTAAAACATCCAGACGGAGGAGAAAATAAATATACAATTTTATTGGTGAATGTAAATTAGGATGGTTAAATATTTCAAATTTATATAAATATGTATATCTTCGGAGATTTCAAGGCAGTGGAGGGCATAATTAACATTTTTAAAAACTAATTTTTTACAGCAATTTCCTTTTTAAAATATTAATATTTGCAGTAGGCGGGTTCGATAAACAAGGTATAAAAAAGTCTCGCCCAAACATTTGGTTTTTAGAATCTATTAATTTACCGATTTTGACAATCTTGATCTTTTGAAACTTCTTAGTACTTTTTGATCCAGTTCAGATGAAGTCAGGAAACAAAGTTGTTCAGGATAGATTTAAATGTTGTTAAAAAAGTTTTCAAGGCTTGAAAATACTGTAAAATATATATAAATATGTTAAGTGAATTGCCATGTAAATAAAACAAACGATTATATAATAACACCAAATTCCATCACATGAAGTAGTTGATGTATTTTGAAATGTTTGTTCTGTGATAAGTTTAAATGAGGTGTTTTGTGCAAGTTTAAATACTGTAGTCTGTTAAGGTGACTCTCAGGCTGCACATCACAAATTCAGCACACTACTGTACAGGTACACAAACAGTTATTCAAGCTGTGTTAATTACATAGTTAAATATATTAATGAAAGTAGGTTTATCAAATCCAATTAAAATAAAAGAAAATAAAGTAAAAACAAAAAAATAACAAACATTATACTTTAATTAAAAATGCCATTAGCATAAGACAACAATGTAGTATTTTGTTTACTATTATATCATGGAATTATGAAATCTAATTTTACGCGTACATCATCTAATCCTTACCATTGACCAACTTGTGACAAGTGATGAAATGGAATCCCAATCACATTACAGTATATGTCTGTATATTACTATTCGCTTTAATAAAGTATTCACTTAGTATCATTGTTTTCACAGCAAAACTCACCAATTGTTTGCACAAGACCATCTTCAAGAACCGATCAAAATTATTATAATTCCTCCATATAAAGTACTGGTATGTTGGCAGGTAGTACATACTGCAGCTCAGGACTGGTGATCTGATAATGCATATTGAATTTTAAGTTTTCGTGTCCATCTTCGCCAATACTTACAGTAGCTCCATTAATAACGGCCTATGGATGCCATGTTTTTTTTTGGGGTTTTTTTTTTTTTACTCCTGACAAAAACACAACATGAAGAAGAAATAAAGAAAATGTTTAACTTTACAGTTAAGATCGACAATATACAGTAGGCTGCACAAAGATGTAGGCCTATACTGATATTAAATAA